GGTGTCGTAGGTTCCCAGCGCAGCGCCGCCAATTCATTCAACTTTAAATATACTTAATGTAATATATCAGTATTGTGCTTGACGTAATTCATGTTAAATCGTAAATAAGTCTTTGTATGTGTAAATTGATACGTCACAGTGACACATTGTAATTTGGTAGGGTAATCAAATAGCTAGGGAGTGATTGAATGTCATTGTTGCTGTCAGATCGTAGCGAGACAATCGGAATGTTTAACAGTCTAAAACTCACGTTGTAAATAGTATACTTTCACATATTACAATCAATACAATTATAAAATACAGTCCCTTGAGCGTTTACTGAATGAACCAGACGGTGGAATCACAAGTTCCGCAACAGGTATCAGAAAGAGACCACGTGTAAGAAAAATAGGGTTTTGATATTGAAGGCAATAAAAGTACATTTTTATACTGTACACTTATTTTTATACTGTACAACTTGTACTAAAGAAATACATTATATTTGGCGACGAGTTTATTTTAATGCTGAACCCAAACGAAGAAGAAGTGAACACAGAAGAAGTGAACACAGAAGAAATCTCGATGGCCACAACTTTGGATTTAAAACCACCACCTCCGTTTGATGCAGAGGGTGATAATTCCTCGCTAGCCCAACGCTGGAAAGAATGGTGAAAACTGAACGGTTTTAATATGTATACAGTAGCTGCCAACATCAAGGATGATGCACAGAAACGCGCAGTGTTATTGTATGTAGCTGGCCCGTCGGTTCATAAAATATTCAAAACACTACAAGACACCGTCACCGGGACAAGCTCGACGAATATTTTCATCCACAAAAGAACGTAATATATGAACGCTATGTGTTTAAACAGACACATCGCCTGGAGAATCGGTAGATAGCTACATAACTCGTCTACGTACACTAGCCGAAACGTGTGAATTCGAAAGCGCCGAGAATGAAATACGCGATCAGTTTGTTATGACATGCTCGTCTCATGTATTTCGTACGAAGCTTTTACGCGAGACAGATCTGACATTGGCTAAGCTTATTACCATGGCGCGAGCGAATTAAGGAATTAGCAGAAAAACAAGCGTCGAATATCTCGGGACACAATAACTCTCGGAACAATGTTAATCGTGTAAAAGACGAGGGAAATGACGAAGCTAAAGACAAGGTAAGACATTTATAGACATGCTAAATATGTACCAAAACCACACAAAGTCAATGCCGAAATTGTGGAAATGAATTTAATTTAAACAAGGGCATAAAGATGTCTGTCCTGCGAAGGGCAAAACCTGTAGAGCTTGTGGAAAGCTCAATGAGTCCTCAATCATTTCGCTAGAGTTTGTCGAAGTCGAAAAAATTCGGCGAAAGATAGTAAGAAAGATTCGAGAGAGTCTGTTAGAGTTGCACAACAACAAACCCAAAAACAAAGCCCTCCTAATTCGTCCGACGATGAGTATACTTTTGCTGTTTCATCATCAAAAATAACTAACATTCAAATACAGATCAATGGCCCCTATCGCTGTGACTATCGATTCAGGAGCGGCGACAAATATTCTTGATAGTGAAGCATTCGCTTGTATTAGGAAAATAAATAAACATGTACAATTAGAGCCAACACAAACAAATATATATGCATATAATGCCGTTCAGCCCTTGCCATTGCTCGGAAAGTGTCGTTTAGCAGTTGAATCGAATGGAAAGCGTACAATATCGACGTTTTATGTTGTCAACGGCAAAGCGGGATCACTTCTCGGTAATGAAACAGCCGCAGAGTTAGGCATTTTAAAAATAAAAGTTAACGAAGTCTCTAAATTTCATAGCATGAAAACAACCGGAAGTCGAGGTAGGAATGAAATCAACACCGGAAGCCACTCAAACGGAAGTGACGCGAACAGTGACTATCGATTCAGGAGCGACGACAAATATTCTTGACAGTGAAGCATTCGCTTGTATTAGGAAAAGAAATAAACATGTACAATTAGAGCCAACACAAACAAATATATATGCATATAATGCCGTTCAGCCCTTGCCATTGCTCGGAAAGTGTCGTTTAGCGGTTGAATCGAATGGAAAGCGTACAATATCGACGTTTTATGTTGTCAACGGCAAAGCGGGATCACTTCTCGGTAATGAAACAGCCGCAGAGTTAGGCATTTTAAAAATAAAAGTTAACGAAGTCTCTAAATTTCATAGCATGAAAACAACCGGAAGTCGAGGTAGGAATGAAATCAACACCGGAAGCCACTCAAACGGAAGTGACGCGAACAGTCAAAGTGACTCCGGAAATCGAGAAATAAGGGACAGAAATAGCATGAAAAACATTGACATTAATACACAGAAAATTTTAGATAAATTTCCAGAACTCTCTGACGGAATAGGGTGTTTGCAAAATTATGAACAGTCATTGCATGTTGATCGTACAGTTTCCCCTATTGCACAACGCCCTCGGAGAGTCCCTTTCCATTTACGAAAGCAAGTTTCAGATAAACTAGAAGAATTACAAAGTCTCGATATTATTGAACCTGCCGAAGGACCTACTTCATGGGTATCACCCATAGTAGTAGACTTGCCACAAGTCGACCATGGGGAGGGAGGGCGCGACCCGAGCGACGAAGTCGCGAGTGGTCGACTTGTGTCCCTTGCAGGAATTTAAATCGCATTAAAAATTTTGGCGCGAATAATTTTGACATATTAAAAGGGTGTGTACATTTCATACAATTACTTCACCGTGCCGACAATGGGTCTACAAAAACAAAAACATTCTCTAGACTAGAATTGATATTTCTTGGTCGTCGAATGAAACAGTTCGCACCAAGTGTGGAAACGAAATAACTGACCCAAGTTAAGTAAGCGCCGAAAGCTGTTCAATGTATCAACAAAAACAAGTGCATGTAAAAACTTATTGAAGCTTCACAGTTGTTTGTCTATTTAAACAATGTGTGCCGTAATTATGTCGACAAGAAAAGTCTGACTCAGTTCGTCAGCGATTTTATTAACGTAGCTAGTAGAGTTAATCTATAAATTGAAAAGAATCAGACAACTGTAACCAAGAAGCAGAGAGGCGGCGATTGTGATCAACTAGAAGACGTCGCTAGAGTTCAAAATCCAGTAAAAATACGCGTTGTTTTCTCAGCAAGCGAATTTGTAATAATCAGTAATCGAGATCAAGAAACCCAAACTAAACCCGAAACTGCTGAGGAAATTTTAGAATCATCAGATGCATCTTCGGTGGCAGTATTAAAGTTTATTTCTACACGCTGTACTTTATACTCAATGTAATGTCTGTTTGTGTATTTTTACATGGTTTTTGTGTTCTACACAATTGTAATTACATTGTTTACTCTGTTTGCTTCAACAATACACATTTGTTCAACAAAGAGCCTGAGAATATAATATTATTGTTAGACTCCTTCGATAATGACCGATAATGTAACCGCTTCGGCCTTCAATGTAAACAATGACGTCACCGGTGGATTTTTCCACCGGTGATATTTGGCGCGCTGCAAGTGACAAAAGTCCTTTCCACAGAGGAAGTGAAGCGCGCCATAGAAGGGCCTGGAAAGGACTTTGGAAAGTCTACCATAGTAGCTGCTCCCAAACCACACAATTCAGATGAAATCAGATTATGCGGAGATTACCGTAGACCAAATCAGGCATTGTTAAGGGAGAGACATCCAATCCCAACAGTTGATGAGTTAATGGAAGAAATGTCTGGTGCTGTCGTGTTTTCTAAGCTAGACCTCAAAGCAGGATACCATCAGATAGTCCTAGAAGAGAACTCGCGTAACATTACCACTTTTTGCACACACAAGGGGTTGTTTCGGTATAAACGCCTGCCATTTGGTCTGTCATGTGCTTCAGAAGTATTCCAAAATGCAAAGCGCTCCAAGGTCTACACGGGGTACGAAATATCGCAGACGATATTATTGTATGGGGTAAAACCCAAACCCAGCATGACAAGAATTTAGAAGCACTGTTACAGCGATTAGTTGTCAAGAAACTTATATTAAACCTGGAGAAATGCAAGTTTAATCAACCGTCCGACTTTGGTTCTATGGCTACATTCTGTCAAAGGACGGACTGTCAGCAGATCCAAACAAAGTCGAGGCAAATAAAAATTTCAAAACACCAGCAGATGTCAGCCAACTACGCAGTTTCTTAGGTCTGGCCAATTACTGTTCACGATTTATTAAGGACTTCTCCACTCTAACAGCCCCTCTACATGAATTAACAACCATGTAAATGGTCTTGGTCAACTATGCATGAGAAAGCTTTCACCAAAGTTAAAAATGCTATTGCTTTGGACTGTACGATGGCATTTTATGATCCAAATCGACCTAGCTACAAAATTGACAGTGGATGCAAATCCTGTCGGACTTGGTGCAGTATTAGCCCAAACACAAGAAAATGGGCAAGATCGCTGCATAGCGTATGCTAGTCGTTCCCTAACGCCTGTGGAAGCTCGCTACTCGAAGACCGAAAAAGAAGCATTGGCTGCAGTGTGGGGTTGTGAACGTTTTCATCTTTACCTTGTTGGAACACAATTTGACCTCATCACTGACCACAAACCATTGGAAGTCATTTACAGCCCAAAGTCCAAACCGCCACTCCGGATAGAACGTTGGTTACTACGATTGCAACAATACAAGTTTAATATCAAGTATCGACCAGGTAGCAGCAACCCAGCTGACGTGTTGTCTCGACAACCTTTATTCACCAACTACAAGTCAAGTACCATAGCGGAGAAATATGTCAATTTCATCCAAAGTCACTCGGTTCCTAAATCTCTCACGCTCGATGAGATTCGTATCGCAACGTTAAATGATCCTGAACTGCAGAGAGTAACTAGCGCAGTAAAGGAAGATCGATGGAACAAAACAGATAGTTGTTTAAGCCCATATCGTAATCAGCACGAGCAGTTGACAGTTTCGGAATGTGGAGTTATACTACGAAATTCACAGATCGTTATCCCAAAGAGTCTCCGTAGTCGTGTCCTTTCTATCGCTCATGAAGGACATCAAGGGATAGTTAAAACTAAAATGCTTGTACGCAGTAAAGTATGGTGGCCTGGTATTGACAAGCAAGTGGAGCAAATGGTTAAAGAATGTGTACCCTGCCAAGCAGCAGTACACCAGTCACCAAAATGTCAACCACCCCTGAATATGACAAAGTTACCTCCACATCCTTGGCACACACTTAATGCAGATTTCTGTGGTCCATTCCCAAATGGCGAGAAATTGTTGGTCGTGATTGACGCCTATTCCAGATATCCAGAAGTTGAAGTGATGCAAAGCACGACAACCACGGTTGTGATCTCCAAACTCCAAAGAATCTTTGCCCGACATGGATATCCCGAAGAATTGATAACCGATAACGGACCCCCGTTCAATGGATGGCCTCAAGCCAACGGTGAGGCAGAGCGATTCATGAAAACAGTAACAAAAGCAATCCGTACTGCTCATTCGGAAGGAAAAAGATGGCAAAGTGAATTAGATCTTTTTCTTCTCAACTACAGATCCACACCTCATTCTACGACACACCTTAGTCCAGCTGAACTTTTGTTCAATCGCTCAATTAGAAATAAGCTTCCCAGTTTCTTATCCCTACAACACAATGATGGCCCTGTGGAACACCACGTTGTTTGAGATAAGGAGGAAAAGGAGAAAATGAAAGTCCATGCTGATAGAAGAAACAACGCGAAAGAAAGTCAGTTGAAAGTTGGTGATTACGTGCTAATGCAAGTCCCGAAGGACAATAAGTTATCAATGCCTTTCAATCCAAAACCATTTAAAGTGATTGAAATCAAAGGCAACATGGTAACAGCTCGTAATACAGAGCGCACCGTAACCCGGAATGTATCGTGTTTCAAATGTCTCACAAATTACAAGAACGCAAGTGAGGAAGACCAGAATGATTAAGAAGACGATTTTGACGACGGCATAGTAGAAAACCAGCAACCAACAATAGTTGAAGAGCAACAACAAGATCAACCAGATCTACAACGAAGGTATTGTCTTAGACAAAATCGAAGACCACCGGACTTTTATAGAAGTTAGACATGTTAAAACTAGTTAAATAATTACTGGTAAAGCAGACACGTAGACTTTATAAGGTAATGAGCCCCCTAGATGAGCTTAAATAGCTCTTGGGGCAAACGATTAAATATGTTTAAATAAATAAAATATTCAATAAACAGCAATTAACATTAATGAGTTATTTTAAAGAAAAGGAGGGATGTAATGTAGTCACGTCATGTCACGTGATGTAATATATATTTAGGTATCAGAAAGAGACCACGTGTAAGAAAAATAGGGTTTTGATATTGAAGGCAATAAAAGTACATTTTTATACTGTACAACTTGTACTAAAGAGATACATTATACCACCAATGTCCTGGAACCAGTAATCGACTGCACGAAGTTTTCATCTTGGAAACGTCTTCTTTGAACCACCGCTGATGTCCTTCGAATTTGCCATAATGTCCAAGCGAAGTTATCCGGCAACAAGGACTTTTCCACGTAAGAAGGCCCTCTTAACCCTATTGAGATCCAGAGTGCCGAAGAATACTGGCTAAAGATTGCTCAAATCGACCTTATGAGGCGGATGAAGAAAGGAGACTTTAAAACGTTAACCCCATTCGTGGATCTGAAAGGTATCATCCGAGTTGGTGGTCGTGTCAACCCAAGCCTTGTCTCTTACGATAACACACGCCCGGCCCTGTTTCTTTGAAAGCATTGGATTTCCGTGCTCGTCACACGCAATGCCCACAAAATCAGGCGTTGACACCACAACCACAAGAACCAGAAGGAAATATTGGATGATCCGAGGTCACGACGTCACTAAAACTGAGAAAAAGCGCTGCACTTTATGTAGAAAGATCGAAGCCAAAGTAGAGAACCAGTTTATGGCCAACTTATCTGCATCACGCCTTCAGCTTTACACACCACTGTTTATATTTACCTCCTGCGATTATTTTGGTCCAATGAAGGTGAAAATCGGAAGGAATAAAACGACAAAACATTACGGAGTTATATTTACGTGCACGAATACGCGAGCTGTTCATTGCGAACTCGCTGTCGACGCAAGTGCGATGGAGTTTCTTCAAGTCCTACGAAGATTCTTCTCGTACAAAGGTTACCCGAAATTGATGCTGTCTGATAACGGACTGCTGATGCTGTCAGAGAACGAGCTCAGAGCTATGATCGAAGGATGCAAGGGTAAGAACAAGTTAAAGGAGTACTGTGCCGACAGAGGAATAACCTGGCAGTTCACAACACCTCTTGCCTCCCACCAAAATGGATGTTCTGAGTCCATGGTAAAGTCCTGCAAGATAGCGATCAAGAAAGCGATTGTGGACACGCCATTCGAGCTATACACGTGTCTTGTAGACGTAGCTAATCTGCTGAATCAACGTCCTATTGGTAAGCTGTCGCAAGATCCCGATGACGGAGCATATATTTGTTCTAATGTCGTAATGATGTCCTCTTAGGCAGAGCCACCAACACTGTTCCACAAGGACCGTTCCGCAAAGCTAACAATCCACGCCACCGATTTGAATTCTGTCAAAGGAACATAGGCTCGTTTAAGTCGTTTTGGAAGAGATGGTCTGTAGAAGTATTGCCTTACTTAGTACCAAGAAAGCAATGGAACAGAAAGAATAGAAATGTTCGTGTAGATGACTGGGTTATCATCGCTGATCCTAATGCTGTACGGGGAAACCGGCAAACTGGGAGAGTTATCCGAGTATTCCCAGGGGATGACGGAGTAATCAGAAATGTGGAAGTGAAAACAGCAACTGGAAATTATAGACGCCCAATTACGAAGCTCGTGTTATTTATCCTGTCGAAGGCTTTAAAGATTAAATGGGATTCTCCCATTGTTCGGGGGTATGTTGCGTTTGAAAGCTAGAGCCGCTAGAGGACTGGGGCGAAATAAAAGAAAAACAACGATGGCGGCCAGCACGAAATGATATTAAAGTAAAGAAACAAATTATTTAAATTTTGTTGCTGAAGAAAGGTTAGCAACGACGGACGTAGTCGGACAAATGTATGTTTACCTAATTTTCGCCATTTTGAACTTTATTTCTTTAGATCGATGTTGTAAACGTCTGTATTTGTATTTTGTAGCTTCAGATTCTGGTATCACATTTATAATATTATTAAATTGATAAAAATCCTGAAACGTTGCGTTCGTCTTTGTGTCTAATGTTGAACTAAGGAAACAATTGTATATTTTATCTAAAATGTACAATTTGCATAGGCGTACCGGGCGGGGGAGGGCGGGGGGGGGGCGGTAGCCCCCCCAGTTTTTTGGGCAGTCGGGCAATATTCGATCAACAGTCGGGCAATTTTGGTTTGCAATAAAAAAAATGGGACAAATTCTGTCAATTTTGTCTAAAATTAAGTAAATTTTTTGGCAAATTTTGTGATTTTTCGAAAATTTGTGTTATGTTCCGAAAAATATTGGTTGTCCGGAAAATTTTTTTGACCCCTAAAATGGTACACTGACCGAAATTTTTTGGGCGACGGGGTACTAGTTTTTTTTTAAATTTTTAGGTACTAGTCGGGCAGAATCCCGAAAAGTCGGGCAATTTTCTTTCCGCCCCCCTAATATTTTCCTTCCGGTACGCCCATGACAATTTGTATATTATCTACTGCTGTAAGAAGCGCACCTGAACATATCCATATGAAAAATGCGCTATATAAATATAATTCATTATCGTTATTAATTTGACATTTACCTTTATTGTGATTTTTACATCTCAAATTTCATAATTACGTCACTAATTATATTACACTTCACTAATATGACTGTTGCGTCATTAATTTTATGACTATGTCAGTAATTTGATTTTTACTTCAAATGTGATTCTTACATCATACATTTTATTATTACGTCATTAATTATATTATGACCACACTGATATTATTGATACGTCGCTAATTTTACTTTTACATTTATTGTCATTCTTTTTTCATTATTACGTCAGTAAAATATATTATGACGTTACTAATATTTTTGCTGCGTCACTAATTTGACTTTTACATTTATTACGATTTTTACAGTACAAATTTCAATATTATGTCACTAATTATATTATGACGTCACTGATATTATTGCTGACTTTTACCTTTTTCGTGATTGTTACATCACAAATTTCATTATCACGTATTCGTACTTTGTTTATTTTACTCATTCTGTGTAAATATTTTTTTGTTGTTAATTATTGGCGAATAAATTGATTCGATTTGAAGTATTTGCTTATCGAATTTCCAGGCGTTCTGAAAGTTTGTAGACTAGTGGAGCATACACGCAGGGACGCCGGAACGATATTAGGGCAAAGGGGGGCCGACGAACACCAAGGGCACCTTTACTGAATTTACAAAAAATTTTATAAATATAAACTATAAATTACCGGAATCTCGTTATTTTCCTACAAAAAGCATCGTTGGAAATGTGATTTATCACGTATTATTTTACAACTAAAAGGGCACTTCTGCCCCCCCTGCCCCCCCTAGCAAAAGGCAAGGGGGCAGCCGCCCCCTGCCCCCCCCCCAGTTCCGGCGTCCATGCATACACGTAATACTTAGCATAACCAAACACATATCTAAACACAAGCTTGAGAAAAAGGAGAACTAAAATTACATTAAACGTGAGAAAAAGGAGAACTAAATTACATTTTCGGTTGCTGAGTTCCAGGTAGCAATGAACAATATTCACGAGCTTGGCTGAAGGATCTAACTAAGGTATAGTTATGTCCTTTAACAAAACAACTGAATTATAGTTTAAAAATATATTAATTAATCTTCCACGCAAAAATAACTGTTGTAATAAGCAATTCTCTAAAGGAGTAAACTCCATTTTCATCGGTTATCTCAACGAGCCCGAGCTAACAACTCTTTTCACCGCTAGTTGTCTGCTTATACCATACAGTTTCTTATATAATAGGCTATCATAAGAGCCTCCAAGTCTCTTGAAAGAGACTTTTCATTATTATAAAATACACCATGTGATAATTGTTATATAGACATGGTATATGCATGTATTTTTCATAGTTATAGTATTATTCATCATGTAATGAATATTAATAGATTAAACAATGAGCTATATTACCTGTAATTCCTTGATCGTCATGTAAAGATAATAAAAACAACTAAATTATTCGACATACTTGATAGTTCTTAACCTTGAACTGAATGGGTATGTAGTGTTATTTGAAAACAACAACCTTTTGTGATGATCTCTACGTCATTAATAGACGTCACGCATTGGGACATATATCTACATCCTGGCTGTAATATATTTTAGATGAATGCGTGCATGTATGGTGATCATGTTGGTGTAAGAATGATGAAACGGAATGACCACGAAATAAAGTACGACCAGAATAAAGTTGGAGTTGGATAAAGTCATGTTTCGCGGCAGATCGTAATAAAGATAGGAAGGAAAACACTGAGGGAAAACAAGTAATATAGTTTAAGGTAACTTTCCATGCACTTGTCAGTTGTTACGACGAATACATAGTCTTTGATAGCTTTCGGCCATACTTTCACGACAAATACTTCGCAAAACTGTTCCACTGGTAGCATACTTTTAACAAGCTGAGTATCAATTTTGAAGTTACGGGCACTTTAAGTAATTATGCATTGTTCAACTTTTAAGCATAGTCTCCATTTAGTCTTGACGATCGCGACCTTGATATCATGTGGGCCAATATAAGAGTGTCGATCTATCCAGAAGATTGATTTGCATACAGAAAGATCCAGACTCTCTCACAATGCGGCCAAGTGGAAAATAAGCTTAAAAGAAATTTAGAATGTCACTATCTTGGCCATAAAAAGAATATTATGGTCAGCGGTAAGCACATTTGCTTGCAAGAAACAAGAAAGTTATCTATATCTAAATCAATACAGAAGGCGATAAGCCATGCACATGTCTTGAGGCCTACGTCAGGCGTTCCTGTGATCTATCAGTGAATTGAACAGCAAGTAGTGTTACAGCGATGCACCTATAGGTGTGTAGTCCCAGTTAATGACTGTAAGAGATGGATAGTCTATATAATCTACGAAATATACAGTGATTAATGTTACCGGTCTCAAACGGCAAAGAATTTCCCAAGGGAAGTGCGTTTATACACGAGAATAATTAGATATAGGGATAGGTTGAGCGCTTTAAATTCTGTTTAAATTCTGAACTAAAATTCTGTTTTAAAGTTGCAATATACTCCCAAGATGAATCTAGAAGCGAAGGGAACTGGGAATGATATTCCTGCCAAGAATAATAATCAGCGCGTCAGTGTTATAAGATGGGTTGGAAGAGAATCAACGAAGACTTTCCAGGAGAAATCTAGCTTTGAAGAAGACTATACTGTCCCTGTTGTTCAAGACGAATCCTTTGTATCATCATGTTCAGTTTCTTTTAAATATCGCTGCTCATTTTGTAAGAAATCATTCAAATGGCACTCACATTGGAAATCTCATGAACGAATACATACAGGGGAAAAACCTTTTAAATGTGAGATTTGTGGAAAGTCTTTTGCTAGATCCGATGGTTTACAATGTCATAAACTTACTCATATCACGCCAAGACATCTTCTTAGAACTCGGGGAAAGGGCAGTACACAAGCGACTGCAGTAGCATACAAAAACCCACCAAGTGAATCAGCTGAGCACATTTCAAATGTCACGAAAGAGCTTGAACAGAAAAAATTATTTAACTGTAGTCATTGCAATAGAATTTTCTTCAGTTCTGCTGGAGTGGTGAAGCATATGCAGGTTCACAAAGGTAAGAGATTTTACAATCATGGCTTTAAATTACCTTACACATTTCGTCATTGCAACATAATTATATCAGCCCATGCATTTTGCCTATTTATATTGAAAGCATCTATTTTAGTTATTCCGTGTTTCAAAGATATAAATACTTCCTGCAACTATAAAGATTTCTAAAACATATTTGAATTTAGATCGTATATATATTATCATGTTATATCTACAGCTAAATTTGCTTTGTGAAGCATTTATATAATCATAAGTATTGCACGTATTATATACTATACCGTTAACCCATAACTATATATGCGGTTTCAAAGGTCGGTTTTACAAGATAGAGATCTTGGGTTTCTTCATAAGAATATGAATTACAAAATCAAGGCAGCTATCTCATTTTCCAATGGGGCTAATATAGTAAAGCTATATTCTTTTTAGCTTGTTTGTTTCAGTCAACAAACTTTGTTTTTACAACTTAAATAACATGCAATCTTTCTAAGAAAAAATATTATATTACTTATTATTAGGCTTCATTATTAAAATACAAAACAATGCAAAGAAATAACAGCCGTAGCATAGAGTCAGATCTTTTTGTTTGCTGGTACTATAGATTCACCTATATGAAGGATTGGGTAATCTGTTCTGTTGTGAAAGCTATATAGGCCTACTGGTTTGAGCAAATATAAAATTAAAGTGTTTCCGAGAAACGTTCGCATATAGTTATATATTTAGTACAACTGCATATTTCGAATTTTTTTTATTCACCTTCATCAACATGACAACTTTACAAGATATCAAGAGTTGTACCGCTGAAGATGAACCAAACAGATTCGATCTTTTAATTTTATATTTGCTGAAACTATCAGCCGCTGATTCACCTCCGTGTTGGATCAGAAATACACTCGAACGGTCTGTGCCATCGTAGGTAGTCACAATAACACCAGAAAGGTGCGGGTTGAGAGGGATGATTATGATTATGATTACTATTATGATTACTATTATGATTATGATTATGATTACTATTATGATCATGATTATGATTATGATTATGATTATGATTATGATTATTCAGCTCACTCCCCATCGGGGCTTTTCTGTGATCATGTATTATGCTTACTATATTAGCCATTTCCCAACGTTGGAGGGACAAGAAATATGACAGCACACATTTAACATTTAAATTAAAAGTTTAATGTAAGAAGGAGATATTTAATTTTTGGTCATCTAAAAAGTTGATATTTTATATAGTAGGTACTTTTACTCTTTCACATTTTTGACGCCTGCCACCATATATTTTGTCCCTCCAGACGATCCCAGAATACACCGTGATCTCTTTTGGGAAAAGGCTAATTATACATACTAAAGGTTGCATTCCAGTTACGCGTTTTTCATACGTGCGTACAAGCACGTAAAAGTTGAATATAAGTGCAAATAACCTCAACAAATACACATTAAATCATACACAAAACTGAATGCTGTCCTGTTATAAATTTAGTTATTTCATAAGTAGGATGTAAAGCGAATTCAACTTTGACGTGCGTGTACGTACGTATGAAAAACGCGTAACTGGAATGTAGCCTTAAGTTTAGAACCCATGGACGATCTCAGAGGTGAAATACGCTTGCTCTGCATGACGACTGCGCCACCGAAGCCCACTATCTGAAAAATATTTTCAGATATAGTTGAATCTATAACTCAGCCCGCAGTCTTCTGCATGATATCAGAAATACAACATCTCGCCTTCGGCTCGAATTTGTACAATTGATCTGATACAAACGATCGCTCTTGCTGCAGTTACCTATAATACCATACATGTATGATTTCATTCTATTTTCCATCTGCATGCAGATATAACGGGCATCCCAACTAGCAATGGCCACTATAAGTATAGGCTACAAATCTGTTATCATCAGTATAATATTTTGTTATTTCTTTCAAGTTGGTAAAGATAAAGTTTCAATGTTTAGGATGTGTACTTATTTATTATTTGTTCGTGCAGGTATACAAAAAGAAAACAAAACCTGTTTTACCATGACGATACTGTCTTTTAGCTTATACAATTGTGAATTGTCTAATTCAAATTGAATTGTTTGAATGAACGTTTGCTTACTGTTTCTTTTTGTTTGGTCCAAATGTGTTATTTTATATTTTCTAGACAGAGCGGACTTTATTTGTGAAGTATGTGACATAGTATTTCCTAAGAAAAGTGCGTTGGAAGTTCACAGCAGGATGCATACAGGAATCAAACCATATCAATGTAATATTTGTACCAAAGCATTCTCAATTTATGGAAATTTAAAAAGACATTTATTAATTCATACTGGAGAGCGTCCATATCAATGTTCTCATTGTTCAAACAGTTTTAACAACTCAAGTCACTTAAAAAGGCATGTAAAAAAGAAACACACCAACGAGAATGGAATTAAAGTAATTCATTAACATATCATGATGTTTACTGTGGTTGCTGTACCATTGTCTGACTATGTTTCATTACCGTCTTTTTGTACTATTTAAAACACGAGTTGGAGCAGCCGAGCGTTTTGTATATTATAAAATACGAGAACGAGTGTTTTGAATAGCTTAAAATACGTCTATACAAAAGATGCCGTCTCATTGGTATTCTTTATATCAGGATACTAATTAGGATGAACAATTATATAATGCCACATGTGTTTTATCAGATATAATGTCACTCCACGTGACATATTATGGCTGACATGATTTGCCACAAGGTTTATGAATTATTAATGAGTATTTTATATATGACGTATATATGTGAGTATTATATATATATATATATATATATATATATATATATATATATATATATATATATATATATATATATATATATATATATATATATATATATATAAAATTTGGTTTTGTTGGTTATAAAAACTTTTGGCAAAGTGCTCAATGGAAAACCAGAGCATATTTAAATTAAGGTACAACAAATCAACAAAATCCACTAGGCATCTTTATTACTAAATAGTTTCGTACCACAGTATATTTAGTAATAAAGATGCCTAGTGGATTTTGTTGATTTGTTGTACCTTAATTTATATATATATATATATATATATATATATATATATATATATATATATATATATATATATATATATATATATATTGAGATATATCTCAATATATATATATTGAGATATATCTCAATATATATATATATATATATCAATATATATATATATCTCAATATATATATATATATATATATATATATATATATATATATATATATATATATATATATATATATATATATATATATATATATATATATATATATATATATATATATATATATATATATGTATATATATATATATATATATATAGTCGTTTTACCTCATAAGTATAGACAGTTTATAGTCGTTTTCCCTCTTTAAGGTTGCCTCAACAGCCCGTTTCATCCAACAGGAATCATCCGCCTGCTGACAAATTTCGAAAAGTAGGCTGCTTAAATGTTTGGTCGGAAACGTGGGCGTCAAACAATACATGCATTCCTCCCATTATTTTTGCATTATGCACTATTCCTCCCATGCATTCCTCCCATTATAAAGCAAACAACACATAAAAAAATAAAATAAAGCAAACAATACATCAAGTTTACCTTCGTTAACGTCGGCGCCTTTGCTCCCTTCTTTTAGCCGATTCTTTCGCCCTGTTTTTCTCAAAAAGCTTTGAAATTTACAAAATCTTGCAAAAAATGCGAGCAGAAATGAAATGTATTTGCAAGAAATCATCAAATCAAGAAAGGTTTGCTATTTCGCTGTCGTCATGCAGTCGTTATAATGCAAATTTTAAATTGGACCAATCAGTGTTGGCTATTCATGACAGTAGTCCGCTATATTTTGAGATCAGTGAGGATGACCACCCATGAACGGTGACCCACGCCCGCGCTCATTGATGAACTTTAGACTTCGCTAATGCTTTCCTTTCCCCGGGGGTAAATAGCCGGGCGGAATTAGTACCCTCGCACGCCGCTCCGCGCCGTCACAGAATAAGAAGGTATACAACAGAAGCGTAACTCAAGCAAGTATTTGTCCGCTTTTTTACAAGCGATTCGTCATCAATCACGTCATCCTGGCTAGTACGACCGGCACTTTGTACCTACCAAAACCTGATAAAAACTTCCGGTTGTACTAGCCAGGATGACGTGATTGGCGTGAGCGAGTTAAAGTTTTCGTGGACGTAAAACAATAAGGGAAACGACTAGAGTTACGCTTCTGCTGTAACTTCTTAATCTGTGGCGCATTTGGCTCGGGGATGAACGAGATTTTTTTCGTATTCGGAAAGATCTCGTACTTGCTCTCTTTTTATCCATTTGGCATGAAAAACATATCATTCAACAGCCAAAAACCTGATCTTTCCGCATACAAAAAAATCTCGTTCATACGCAGAGTAATTCAGGTGCAATAGGGGGCTGAAGTTCGATTTATACCTTTTTTTTATACACGATGTGTTCTTGACTTGCAACCAATCTCCTGGTACACACCTGACAATGTTCATTGATAAAATCATAAACTAGACATGACATGACATCACATGACATGACATGGTATATCTATTCTGTGATAAAATATTCTTTTGTGCCATGCCACCTGACATGGCTGACGTACAAGTCAAGAATAGAGAAAATGTCCAGTCCATCTGTCCAGTCCAGTCCAACAGTCCAGTCTATGTTTTGTACTATGCCATATTTTCTGCATCAATTCTAATTTAAACAGCCAATCAAATTCTCATAGTACACCTGTGACTAAGAACCGGATTGGCTGTTTATTAAAATTAGAATTGTGAATAGGCAAAAATATGTAGGTGCGGTCGTGAACACGAAACTATAGGCTTTCTTGCCATCCTACTTTTCCTACTTTTTCCTACTTTTCTTCAACTTTCCTACTTTTTCTCATAAAATCCTACTTTTTAAGACAGCTTGGGGAATCAGTATGTTATAGCTCTCGTAATTAGATCTATAGGACTCATATCTTTTATTTTCTCTTTGTGTCCCAGATGATAAGATCTCAGGAAGAGAAGAAGTACATTTTCCGAGTATAAAATCCCATAGCATCTCTAGAATCATAATCAATAAATTAATGAAGACTCTGAAAATGCCATTTCCGACGATCTAGAGAATCCAAATATTCAACCCCCCTCAGTTAATCAAGCATCATATCATTCATATGCTCCTGCCGCACAGTGTGGATTGTTGTATGGCGCAGCCAAATACATGCACTCGCACGCATAACGCATTTGAATTGTGTTGCTGCAGAGCAGGATGCCTTAGCTTTTATACCGATGCAACATTCATTGTCTATATTGATATCTAATTTTAAAAGTTTTGAGAAAAATATCCTGCATAGATGAATGAGTACAAAAAAATATTGAGCACCAAAAATTCACACAACTTCCCCATCAGATATCTAATGGTCCACCCCTTACCACACATATCCTAGGGGGCCAATTTTGTATATTTTTGTGTTATTTGCATCTCCAAAAACTCCTACTTTTGTCCTACTTTTATACACATTTTCCTACTTTATAGTCCTACTTTTCCTAAAATTCTAGTCCTACTTTTATCTGGCCTATTTTTCTACACAAGGATGCCAGAAAGCCTGCGACACGAATTTTTGATGCGTTCTGAAGAAATATTTCCAAATTTTAACCAAGCTGTTAGGAGGTTTGCTTTCAATTTTAGGTTAACCTACAATCATGTGCAAAAATTATTGAGACAACAACGCAATTTCCTCCCTCCCCCCCTGAACAATGTTGTAAATATGAAGTAAAGCCTGAATGTCAGCCCTATTTTTTTCTCAACATTGTCTACGGGGGCAGGGGGGCAGGAACTTTAAAAAGAGGATAAAAATATAAAAGTCTCATTATTTTTGCACTTGATTGTAGGATTAAGCTAATCGGCTTTCGAACAACCGGCCCCTGGTTAATTTTCCTGGTTATTTTACTTTTTTCTGGTTATTTTAACCTATTGTCTAGTTAATTTAATCAGGACTTCCTGGTTAAATTAACTAGATCTAGATTATGTTAGGTGGATACATAACCAGGGGAATCTTGGTCAAATTAATATAGGCAATATAGGTTAAAATAACCAGGAAAATTAACCAGGGATATTAAGTTAACCCAAATAGGGTTATTTCTAGCTAAATTAACCAGGAATTTTGAGGAGAGTGTTTTTAGAGTGTATACTCGTAGAAATCTAATTGACGTAACACGTGCGTTACATTTACTGTACATTTTTCCTTGTTCTCCTTCCATACCATAATTGCAAACTGCTGCCATAGTTGCAACGAAAGATTGTGAATTTTTAACTCCCGGTGTCAATGTATTTGTAATTTATTTATGATTAGGCTGGCCAAAATATATAATGGTGTCAACAGTGCGTCATCACTGCACATGCGTGGGTATGTTTCAATACGTAAAACATGACGCAAATGCAAATATGAGCGAAGGTCATGCAACCAAATTATAGAGTGATTATAGAAATTAAGGCAGATCATCAAAATAATTCTCATTATTTAGTATCAGTTAGAGGGTCTAATGTAGTAATTATTCCATTAGCCCATAAAATAGGGAGAGTGTATATAGAGCTTTATTCCATTGCCCATAAAATAGGAGAGCAATGCTATCCTGCAAGAGGATTGCGCTGTGGAAAATAATATCTGAGGGCCCACTATATGCTAGGGACTTCTTGCGTGTGGCCCAATCACCACGTATCCTATACAGTGGGCCACGCCACTCCTGCCGTAAGAGTGGAATAATAGTCCACATTTTTTAATTCTTATGAGTGAACGTGACTGTCGTGACATGTTTAGAGACACCAATTAAAACAGCAAACTGCACTGTTATGCATGCAACGCTGCAAATGTTTTTCAATAACCACAGCATCTTACGTAATACGCAGTACAGAAGAGAGATGAGAGCCGGAAATGTTTATTGAGGAAACTTCAAGTGACCTTAATCTTGAAAGACAAAACACCGTGTGAACATTGACATAAGAAATGTATTGTATGGTTATACAAGCGTCTCATTACTATATAGGCTATATGGTAACGATGCTATGTAAATTAATATTAATATATCATTTATATGATTATATTTAGGGAAAATGAAGCATAAGAAAAGCATGATAAATACAGTATAGGCCTACGTGCTTGTTATTATGCAGACGTTGTTTGACGTGACCCGAAATACGTACTCGTATATGTGATTCTTGCGTCATCAAAGAAATAACGCGCAACTGATATCTCGAGTTCCTGGTTATAGAATCAGATAAATAAATGTTATAGCTTATTCTTGTGGTGGTCGTGTTTATGTGAGGATAAGATTGGGTAAAATCACTTCATTTAGCAGATTGTAGTAAAAATGTGGAAACAAATTGCGGAATCGTTTAAGGTAAATTGAACGCATGTAAATTGTTGTGCCAATTTGTGCTGTGATTCGAATGTTGTTTAATTAAGGTGTTTTTCATTTTAAAGGGGGGTAAATACTCGCTGAGGTATTTACAATAGAAACAATTGAATCGTAAAATAGCAAATGAGGGCAGTTCGAGAAAGAGTTCATGTTACGTAATGTGGATGCAAAAAATTGCATCGATTAAATGTTATACTCGTGGAATAATATAAACATGAACAAATATTCATGATTTAGTTTTGTATGAAGTTTGGAAATGCATTTACAAATGTATAAAATTACAAGCACTTTTCGGTTCGTGTACAGTCACGTATACAGAGGATTTTGTTGACAGGCAAACATTTCTTTCCGTTTATAATGCTATTGTTCGCCCATACTTCGATTACTGCTGTGAAGTATGGGATGTGTTCGGTGAAACACAATCAAAACGATTTCAAAAACTCCAAAATAGAGCTGCTCGAATTATCATGAATATGAGCAATCACACAGATCATTCTGTAGCATTGCAAGCATTGGGCTGGAAGACACTTAAAGTAGAAATGAGGAAAGCCAAGGCAAAAATGATGTATAAATTATTAAATAACATGGGCTCTCAATCACTCACTAACTTATTCACTTATAAAAGTGAGATGACTAGCTATAATCTTCGAAACGTTTCAAGTACTCTTTGTTTTAAGGGAATGGTCATTATTTATGGGGAAGGGGGTTTGGGAAATGGGGAAAATAAGGATTGAAAACTTTTTTGACCCCCCCTCCAGACTGAAGGCAAACTTTTTGTGCCTCCCCCTCATAAAAGTAGAAACTTTTCTGACCCCCACCCCCCAGTGTGGATTGAAAAATTAACAGCAATGAAGCAGGTGTGCATTGCAGGTAAAGTTAGATATTAGGACAATCTGTTTAATCTAGCTCATGATGTTTTAGCCTGGTGAATATGATTCAACCATATATGATTAAAAAATATATATTATGTGTTACTACTTTGCAATGCAACATTTGTCCTACCGTAATCCTAACCCATGACCCGTCTTCATACAACGAAATGATTTGAACACAGGGTTTTTTTAAGAACTTGTCTGGGGGGTGGGCATCTACAAAAAGGGACCATACTTTATTGAGTGTGGAGAGATGACAGATGGTTGTTGGTGACAAAACGTTTGGTGTGGTATCGTATGTACTACTGTCTGTATTTTTTCACCCCTAGAACTGAAATGTGAGCATTTTCTGAAACAGATTTTTGGATATACAGCGTTACATTGTGCGTTGATAGACCGAATCTGATCAGTTAAGTGTACTTGCATGGTATGTTTATGTAAATACCACAACTTGGTCACTCAGGGGGTAGAAAGCTTGTTAAACTTAGTGGGCACGACTCCCACGATCGCGAGGGCCTACCATGGTTGTACCCCCCTTTCTTTATGTTAAAACTTTTTTGACCCCCCATATTTATAAGGGTAAAACTTCGTTTGCCCCCCCCCCCTCCCATTTCCCAACCCCCCCCCTCCCCATAAATGATGACCACTCCCTAATACCGCAACCGCGGACAAATAATTTGAAAAAAAGTTTTATGTACGATGGATCATTCCGGCTTTGGAATTCTATTCCTAAGGAAATTAAAGAGAGCAAATTCCTTTCTTCCTTTCGGACGAAAATCGCTGCTCACATTGACAGTTAAAGCAAATATATGTATCTGTAAATACATTATTACCTCATATACTGCATCTTATATTTTAATACTTAACAAATTTTATACTATGTTTCTATTTTGTAAATAGCTTTTAAATACTTTTCATATTTGCTGTATACTTCTTGTTCACACGCCCCTCGTGGAAATCAGCTTTAGTTGACGAGGTTAGCGTGTTTAAATAAATTAATCTATCTATCTATCTATCTACGTACGTGAAAAAAACGGCGAGGATTGACGCCCTTGACACAGCCCTTGATTATATATGTATTGTATTCGGTCATACAGAGTCAGCGGTAGGCGTGGGTTATCTGGGTCTGTAGAATGCACCGGTATATAGTCATGCAGATATACAGCGAGGCCTATTAGACTCAATAGTAATGCCAAAGTTATGAATTGAACTAACGAGAGGTTACAGCGATACACTTCGTGCGTAAATCATGTTCATGTTTATCAAATTTGGTGGAATGATCTAATCTGAGAAAGATAAAAAATTTAATGTTGGCGATTTCAAACGACAAGGTTAGGCGGAAAGTGTAGTGCTTTAATTATCAATGTTTGCATGCACGAAAGCATGTAGCTTTTATTTTATAGGACCACAGGTTGGCCTTTTGAAATTAAACTATCTGAATTTTTATTATAGAATGTACGGAAATTTCTTGTTACGTACTGCCAAGATGAATCTAGAAGCGAAGGAAACTGTGAATGATATTGCTGCCAAGAATAATTATCAGCGCGTCAGTGTTATAAGATGGGCTGGAAGAGAATCAACGAAGACTTACCAGGAGAAATCTAGCTTTGAAGAAGACTGTACTGTCCCTGTTGTTCAAGACGAATCCTTTGTATCATCATGTTCAGTTACTGCTAAATATCGCTGCTCATTTTGTAAGAAATCATTCAAATGGCACTCACATTGGAAATCTCATGAACGAATACATACAGGGGAAAAACCTTTTAAATGTGAGATTTGTGGAAAGTCTTTTGCTAGATCTGATGGTTTACAATGTCATAAACTTACTCATATCACGCCCAGACATCTTCCTATAACTCGAGGAAAGGGCAGTACACAAGCGACTGCAGTTGCATACAAGTACCCTCCAGCTGAATCAGCTGAGCATATTTCAAATGTCACGAAAGAGCTTGAACAGAAAAATATATTTAACTGTAGTCATTGCAATAGAATCTTCTTCAGTTGTGCTGGAGTGGTGAAGCATATGCAGGTTCACGAAGGTAAGAGACTTACAATCATGGCTTTAGATTACGCTAAAATACAATGGCGTTTGTTTATATGCCGGCAAATTTTATTGAAAGCATCTATTTTAGTTATTTGTGTTCAGAGAGTGAAGATTTACAGGGCTGGCATTCTCCCTGTAAGAAAGTCTAGTTGAAAAGGTTACTTTTACATCCAGTACGATTCAATGTTATTACAACCGTAATACTGACTGCATGCATGGTGCATGTTAATCAAAGTCTTGAAAGTCAATCATCATGGATAGCAGAATAGACTCGTGATCTAAGCGCAGATTTGCAGCTGCTTAGGAGATTGAGAGAGATACTCTTCCTAAATCTGATGATATACATGAAAAAGTAAACATTTACAAAAAAGATTTTGCTACATTCAATTGCCAGACAACTATATAGGACTGCATGATTGCATGTCGCACGTGTCTTTAGAGGGATAGGTTTTAGGCCAAATTGAACCTGCATTTAAAAATTCAAAGGAGAATTATACAAGTAGGGTTGCATGGTTTGAATTTGGGGAACTTTCGAAATATATTGTCAGTGTATCTTTTGCATGGTATAACGCGCATGTTTGGAAAGGTTTGTATATTGTGTATCGTATTGGAAATGTAATTCACGTGTGAGTGATACCAAACCATATAATCTTTGTTTATTCTGCATGTTTTTTGTGCAATTATTTTAAATATTTCTTACTTTCACAAGTAGTGATATGTTTTGATACATGGTCCAAAATTGTATCCCTGGTTCCAGAGGACACAAAATTATTTAAAACTTTCCAGATTCTTCATTCCACAAAATTGTTTAAACCTTTCCAGATTCTTCATTCTAACTGGCAGTAACTGCAATTTAGCCTATATGACATGCTGATTCTATACAATTTTCCAGCAAAGAATATTTGTGTTCAGTTATTAAATGCTTAATTTGAAATGTTTTAACAAACGGTTAAAGTGTTTTGTTCCTTGGAAATACATTGTATATTGCAGCACGTACAATATTTTAGTAAATATACAAGCAAGGTGTATATAAAAAAATGTACACCCTTTCAAATTCAAAGTTAGCCATAACCTTTTAAATATTCGTTGCTCTGTAGTAAGCCGGCCCATTTTATATCTTATGCAGACCTGAATAATGCTTAATTTAAAATTGTTCTTTGAGTTGTGTATTTGTTTATACAAATAGAAGTTATCCTAAATTCCCATGTGCAGAAGACCTTGTGTTTTCACGCATCATTAATTCGAGAAATTATATATACGGCTGTCAAATTACTACAATAGATTACGGTTAATTTGAATTTGAAAGGGTGTACATCTTTTTGATACACCCTGTATTCTACCATGTTAAATGGACAATCTTTCACAGTCAAGAATCCCTAGCTATAGAAATATGATATCAGTAAATAAAACAATGATCCTTTTGTTATGCAACCAGAACACTGGGTTGGAGGCTATAGGCATAGCTACTGGCTTTTAACCAATTCACAATTGTCTAATTTAGTTAAGCTATAGGTACCCTGTAGTATAGCTATAGATATTTATACAGGGTGTCTCAAACAAAACCAAAATCATTGAAATAACGTATTGTTCGAATTTCAATGCCGTAACACAAAGGATTTTGACAGGGTGATTAATTTGTTTTAAAAAATTAAAATATCTTTGTAAAGTGAACGTTTGTTTGCTCATGGGAATTTAAAAATGTTTCGTAAATTGTAATATGCGTAATATGCATTCGTGGGTTTAGTACTTTATGCCTGACATAACAAGTTTACGCTGAGTATTACCATTCATTATAGCAGTTATGTCAATCTTTTATGCACTCGTGGGATTAACTTAGTGCTAGGGCATTGAATATCGAACAATACGTCAATTTCAATGATTTTGGGTTTTTTTGAGACACACTGTAGAACGAAACATAATCTGAAGATTAGCATCTTGAAAGTTATTTTGATTTTGTTGCAAATCCGCATAATAATGATTTTGGAATAAAATCGAAATCGAGGATCGAAATATCACAAACTCATACATTCTCATCTTGCTTTCACTCAACTGTTGGGTTTCAAGATGCTTGTCTTCGGATTATGCATGTTTCAATTACTATATCTAAATGATATATTTAATCGTTTCCAGAACAAGTAGACGAATATTGTTGCATAGCCCTGGTCCTATAGAATATATAGGTATTATTTTTCAATTTTCTGGTAATTTTAAAAGATCACAAAATGTGCTATACAATATTTTCAAACCACAGTCTATATATACAGATATAGTCTATATGCATGTGTCCAGCATATGGCCTATTGAAAAGTAATTTTTCCATCTTGAAAATATATACTGCTCAAATTATTCTCTTCAATGTTAATTGCAGTTTTATACGTTTATAGCTGTTTAAACGTTTAGCGTCCATTTTTAATATAGTTAAATAGATTCTTCAGTGCAAGATGTTGAATACGTTTGAAACCAAAACTTTTAAAATGACAAACAAATAGAAAGATGTATACTCTATTGGAAAGACGTACTCTATGCAATTCAATTTAACAACTTGTATTATTCACAAAGTACAACTATATAATGTATTAAAGTAATAAAGTTGATCATTTTTGCTGTTGATAATGATGGCACATTTATGCTAATCAAGTGAATTTAATTCCCAAAGGAGTCAAGCAAATCACACGAACACCTTTCTTCAAGAATAAAAAGTTTAAATATCCAATGTAAATGAATTTTGCCAGGTTTGGTATTTAACTGGGTTAGAATGAGCAAATAAAATCCGAGAAATGTGAAAATCAACGGGACAGCCGATACCAAAACGGCTTGTGGAACGTAGCAACCGTGTAACAATGCCTATGGAGTGTTTGGACTATCAATTATATATACTGTATGCATGCATGTATATACGATTCCGGCATTTATTCTGTCTGCATGCCTGCAGTAAAAGCCAATATGGTAAAGAACAAAAAAAAGTTCAGTCTTTGTTTTTTTTATAATAGTCGTTATTTGACAGCCTTAAAGTTAATTGTCTTGTACATATTAAATGAGTGCTTTATATAGTTCGTACATGCAGATAAAGAGAAACAGTAAATAACCGTGTTTCTCATATTAGATAAGATACGCTCAGTTCAGTGGATGAGTAAAATATGCACCAAACTATTACACAAGAGAGAAACGAAAAATTGAACCCTTCACATTCGTCTGTAACAAACTATCTTTGATTTTCTCTTCTTATTTATATATAAATGACTACTTCAATGTGTCTTATAGCGTAAACACGTAAAAGTCAATTTATTACAGTAATTTAAACGTCAAGTTTTACTTGCTGTCATATGTTGACCAATTATATGCACGTATGAAAAACTCAAATATATCTAGATATTAGCATTTTTCTTATTTTCTAGGCAGAACGAACTATATTTGTGAAGTATGTGACATGGTATTTCCAAAGAAAAGTGCGCTGGAGGTTCACAGCAGGGTACATACAGGAATCAAACCATATCAATGCAATACTTGTGCTAAAGCATTCTCAATTTATGGAAATTTAAAAAGACATTTATTAATTCATACTGGAGAGCGTCCATATCAATGTTCTCATTGTTCAAACAGTTTTAACAATCCAAGTCATTTAAGGAGACATTTAAAAAAGAAACACAAAGGACAGCGAGATTAAGAAGAATCTATATTGTGATATTTTTGGGATGCATCCTATACATGCACATTCAATCTGAGAACCTTTCGACTTGTTTCCTCCAATAGACCTTGTGCATAATGACGTCTCAAGGCGTGATGCGCGCGGTGAATTTTGGTCTTAGTATAGTCACGACTGGTAGATTCAAAACAATCCAGCATATGGCTGCTGTCGAATGCGAGTGTGCTGCTGTTCTTTGTTCTTTGTTCTTTTGTCTTTCAGAGGCTGTTTAAGCCAATCAAATATGTCAGCTGGTTCATGTAGGGTTTTACGTCGTCCTGGAAAATGGAAAGAACACACTCTAGGGCCTGTTATTGGAGAGCAATCTTTGCTTGCAATTTTACTACAATTTTATTATTTGGAAAATTACAAAAGAACAAAGGTCTTCATTAATGGCTTGAACAGCCTCTAAAAGACGACAAAAAACAGCAGCATACTCGCATTCGACAGTGGATTGTTTTGCCAATTTTCCTCTCGTGTCTACTAAGAGTCTAAGACCAGAATTCCCCACGCGCATCAGGCCTTGTGACGTAATTATGCATCAGGTCTATTTCCTCTCTGCATGATATATAACACAGAGCGACAACCGTTGGACAAGTACAGTGTTGATTACCCTTTCAACAAATTTGTCAAATATATGTGTACAAAATAGTCAGTTTTTAGTTCAAGTCAGTTAGTGCATGCATTTTAAGAAAAGGTCTCAAAATATTGCTTCAGATGGGGACTATATTGATTTTTCATGCAATATTACCGAAATTACTGCCACTATCAAGACTATAGACATTACTATCCAACTGTCTGTATAATGTTCCAAGACTATGGTCATATATACTACTGTCATATATATCAAGACTTCATTCACATGATCCAAGATAATATATCATGCATATGGTCCAAGACCTGCCATCAGCCTCCTTCGCAGACATTTCGTATAGTTCACCAGGATTGCAACCAAATTTTGCCCCTGCGAAGGAGGCTACATATAGTCATACTAGTCTAAGACTATAGTCCTATATTTCAACCTATAGTTATAAGTCCAGTATAAGACTAGTCTTGTTGTTCAAGGCTATGCCAAGAGTATATATAGTCATAAACCTATAGTAATGGGTCTAAGACGATAGTGATTATAGTAGACTAAGACTATAGTATAGTCATATAGTTTTTGATGATATGGTCCAAGATTATAGTTATATAGTTCGAGATTTTAGATTATAATCATATAATATAGATAAATAGACCACGACGTTTGGAAGAGATAAAATAAATAGAGAAAAAATAAATGAAATGCTTTTGTTCTTGGAAGTGCTCGACGTGTATTTTGTTCCTGTAATCTTCATTTTGCGGAAAATATTAAATATTGCATTTAATGGAGGTATTAATTTTAGAAATTGAATACTCTAGATTGTATATTATATGTACATAATCTACATACTACCAACAAGTTCTTTTTACATTCTCGGAATGCATTTTGTATTTGAAATGGTTGTTTAAATGTGATATATTGTTGAAACAAATGCCGATTGCGTCAAACGTTTTTCTATATGACACCTAAAGGTTTCATTCATTCATTATAGCTTTTACATCATTTGGATATTCCTTAATTATTATGCTACTAAGAGAGGGTTTACTTCATTTAATACCTGTAGTAGTGTACATATGTGTCTCATCGCCGTACCTTGCTACACCTTTCCTGCAAAACCTTAATTCCATATATATTTCGTGGTGATTTTCGCAGTTTGTTAAAGTTCAGTATTCACAGTACACTGTATTTATTCAAATGTGGTGCAAACTTTGTACACCTATACTAATTTTGAACTGCGAACTGCTCTTTCCGGTGGCTGCAGTTCATTTCGTCATATTGTTACTTTTGAACACAATGAGGTCTCTCTTCCAAAGATTGAATAAAAGTGACTACTAGGCAGTATAGGCATGTGAATTATCCAATCTGGCGAATTGAGTAGCAATGTCAGAAACAAGCTTTAGTCACATAACTCACATCAGTTTATCTCTCCAACAAAGTTTGAAACAACAGTTTGAGAGAGAAAAATGTACGCTATTCATCTCAGATATCGATCGAGTAAGTGAATACATCTAGTACAGTAGACGTCCCCCGATACAGTGTATTTTATAGAAATTTCCCCAATTTTTGAAAGCTTGTCATTCATATCGCATGTGTCCAAATGTGGTCATTCATATCGTATGTATCCAAATGTGGTCAAACATTGTGTTCATATACTTATTTTGAGCTGATTGTTCCATTGGTAAAGTTCACTTCTTCATTTTGTCTCGGTCTCCTTATCAACATCGGAATGGCGAATAATTTTGATTTCTCGATGCAAGTTAATCACTCATGTAGATGTCATGTAGATACATATACACGGCTTGCGCAAGCAAGCATGCATGCCTTTGACATTTTTCTATTGTGCGCCATTATTTCTGACACGTGCATGTTACCTTATTAGGTCAAGGAGGAATGTTCGCAGACATAAGACGAGAGGAGTGGTGGAGTCTACTAATAAAGGTATGACGATAATCGGGATATATTCGAGTATTGGTTGCGCAGTAATTATAGTGCATATGTAGTATCTCTCTGCGTCCTGGACATTTCTCTGATCATAATTTCTTGTCAGTCGCATGTAAGAAGATTGCTTTCCAGTTTCAGTCTACCAATAAATGCAGGTTTTCATCCAGGACGCACGTCAAGATACAAATCACGATCGGAAATTGACAGCTAATATGAGCAGGATCATCTTAACAGAGCATGCGTAGATTGTACATGCTGATGTGTGCTGAATGATAGCGAGTTTGAGCGAAGAACGAAGTACGACGACGAAGACGTACTTGACAATTTGTGCCCATCTGCGCATGATCTTGCGCATACTGAGTTTAGGGTCAGTGGTGATTGTTCAACAAAGACTGCTGACCTTAATTCTTACCCTGAATTCAGACAAAACAGCGGCACATGAATCCATATCCCATCTTCGTTCTTCTGCCTTCGCTGAGAACGGCAGAAGAACAAAGACGTCGTGAACTTCGTCGTAAAATTCGTACTGAACGAAGACAGAAGAAAAAAGACCGGATATAGTTTCATGTCCCGTTGTTTTGTCTGGATATATCAAGGTAAGGATTAGGGTCAGTATCCATAAATGTATATAATAAATGTATAAAATTCACACTCGAAATTTCCATCTACAAATCCCTACTATCAGATTTTTATGACCTAGTGTTATTACCGGAGAAGTATGAAGTGTCCTCTTCTCTCTCCACCAACGCACCCTTCATACTGAACATGTAATCTTTTTTATCTTATATGATTGATGCCAATTTTGCGCGAAATGATTTTACTCAATTTAGCATTGTGAAAGGTCGAAAGCGGTAAGCATGATTTAAATACAAAAAGTAAATGAAAAGTAATTTTGAAAGTAATTTGTAATTAATTACTTTTTGAAAAGCAATTAGTACGTGGTAATTAATTACATTTTATAGTAAAGTAATTTGTAATCTAATCAATTACTTTTTAGGAGAAGTAATTGACGTAATTGTAATTTCTACTCATTTACGTTTTTTTCAGTAATTTTTACAACACTGCTGTTTAGGATAATATGCTCGTGCATTGAGTCGTCAGAAACCTCTGGAACCATTGGTCAGCTTATTAATGGGATTATCTTTTCTTCAAATGGCCTGTCAGAAATTTCAATATGGCGGCAATGCAAGTATTGTGCAAGTAAGAGATATTGTGCCTACTTGTGCTTTTTGTTATTTTGTCGAAGTGTAATTCTTTTCGCAGGTTCTGTATCATTGTGATGGTGTAAAAAACGTGAGTGACCTGCATGTTGTGTGGGTGGTATTATAAAGTAGGGTGCTGTGATTTGCGTCCCAACTATCTGAAAGAGGTTAAAAATACTTGGACATATCAAGCAAGGCCCTCTGTCAGGAGATTCGTGGCAACTAATCTCATGACGATAAATATGATCATTGGTTTGGGAGGGGGTCACACGTATAGTTGTGACGTGATTTTGGCCCTTATTGTAGTTTCACTAAATAGTGGATAGTCAAAGATGTCGCATTTGGAACTAGTGGATATCTCGTTTTCTTAAACTATTTAAAATTTTGTAGGCTTTTTTATTTCTTTATCAATATAATAGTGATTAGTGCTCTTAAGTATAGGTAGTATAGTTTCGAGTGCCACTTGGAAAACAACCTGCATGCATGACACGAGTGTGTTTTTCGAAGACGATCGAATGGGAAAAAATGTAAATTCATGGCACTTTCATGCATCGAACGTATGCGAAATAGATTATTTACGTACTCATTTGAGCGGAATAACAACTTAATACAAGTTTTCAATTGTCGAAAGTTAGTGAGGCTTGACATGTATGTCTTTTTTTTGGCACTAATTGTTTTAGCCGGCAGTGAATTTCTTTTTTTTGCACTGTATTTCGATAAAATTTCGCTGCTCCTAGCTAGTCAGAATTGAGTAATTTTGCCATGCATGTATATTACTAAATTATTATACAAATTGCCCCCTGGCCCCCAGGTTCTGGGGGCCCCTAGAAATTTTTGGTTGGGCCCCAGTCATTTTTTGGGGCCAAATATTTCCGCACAAAGGGCAAGATATTTGGTTTTAGGGCAAAGTACCGAAATTTGGTATGAAAAATTCAGGTAAAGTCGGTGGAAAGCAATTGTAACGTACTCGTCCGGAAAAATGGGCGGGAGGATGTTCTCCGAAAAAAGCTTTTTCCGGAAAAATTTTTGAAATAGGGGCCCCTAAAAGAAATTTGCCCCGGGCTTCGGCCAACCTCTCGGCGGCCCTGCCGGAGGGCAATGATCATGCATTGTATGTGCGTTTCACCTCTAGTCTCTCAGTTATTATTTATTTTATTTTATTTAATATATTTGCCCAAACCAGTTCATAAAATTAACAATTTAAGGTGGCTCAATACAGTTTTTAAAAAAATGGAAAATTCACTATTTAGGTGCATATTTTTGGACAATTATTACTTTCATGTTTCGCTCGCTACTCTGAAAGTACCTTACTTATGTAAAACAACATCTAAAGAGTTTGAATTTTTGCACGTAAGGTTCAAGATGCATGGCGGATATTTTGGCTTTAAAGTAATTTAACTCGTAAACAACATCAGTGACCCCCAAATTTTATTTAAAAAAATGATTTCTCTTAGACTAGTATAATCAATTATATTGACAATTTAAAAAAAAAATCTGTGGAGCCAAAAAAAAATTATTATGAATAATCACCTTTACGCAATTTTAAAAATTTCACAGAATCTTTTTTAAATTGTCAAATTAATTGACTATACTAAGAGAAATCATTTTTAAAAATAAAATTTGGGGGTCACCGATGTCGTTTACGAGTTAATTACTTTAAAGCCAAAATATCCGCCATCTTGAAACGTCATTGTTGCTATAGCAACGGCAGTTGCGTAACTTTGGTGCAAAAATTCAAACTCTTTAGATGTTGTCTTATATAAGTAAGGTACTTTTTGTTTATCGACAAGTAATAATTGTCCAAAAATACGCATCTAAATCGTAAATTTTCCATTTTTTTAAAAACCGTATTGAGCAGTGAGCTCCATATATATCTGGAATGAGAACTTGGTTGCTGAAAGTGAAGCCAAAGATGGCGGAAATTGACGTCCAGTGCCAGTCCTTTCAATTGTTTTTGTCCGCGCGGTCAACACAAATTGACGTCCAGTGCCAGTCCCTTTCTATTGTTTTTCGTGTTTTGACGTCGATTTAAAGAAGAATACTGTGGTTTTATAAACTAATAACTTGTTTAGCGATACAATCCATTAGAAAAATGTTGATTAGATAGGAAAATGCTATAAAAACCGTGGTCTACGCGAATAATGTTCCACCCCATGTTCCCCGGGGAACATGGGGTGGAACATTGTCAAAAACTGTTTACAACCTTCATAGATTTTGGACGTCAATGTCCGCCATCTTTGGCTTCACTTTTCACATAGGCCGAATGACTGAAGTTCTCACTCCAGATATATTTAGAGCTCACCGGTATTGAGCCACCTTAACTGAATAGAAAATATTTACAATAGTAGGGCACTACTAGGGCTAGGAACCTTCTAGAAACCATAAGGTTTTTGTTTAAGGTCCCTAGTTAAGGTCCCTAAATAATATAATATTAAAAGTTAATACCAGTCCAATTGTTTTCAAAGAAATTACGGTGATATATTTACAATAAGGAAAGTGCGAAAAAGAGATATATAATAAAAAAAGATATAATAGACTATAACAACTATTTGGCTAATTGGCTTTTCACTTTGTGCTAAGAATTCTACTTATTTAAATTTAACAGAAGAAAATATATTTTCATTGTCGAATTAAATATTGGAAGAGATCTAACTTGCTATCTTATTACAATCTCGAACGGTCTGTGCCAGTGTAGGTAGTGATAGTTGTATGACTTGTATCCCTATTAATGCACAGATTTCTAGTTATCTGATTATAATTGGGCCTCGTTAGCATGTAAGAAGAGTGTTCCAGTTTGATTATCATAACACAGCAGGTTTCTCCCTCAACCTCGTACCCAGGCTCTTTCCACTGCGTAGTGGAAAGAGCCTGGGTACGAGGTTGGTTTCTCCCTTTGGTAGTAACAATCCAGGTGATCAGACGGTAAGCAAAAGGACTGGGACTAGCAACAGAATAGAAATCCAGTTTCGTACCTTTAATCACTTGTCACGCCCTGACTCTTTTGTGAAACAGTTTGAAACTTTGTGTCTGTGTCTTACACAGGGAAATGAATGTCTGGGACAAATTTGAGATAGAAATCTAATACCGTTGATGAGATATTGAGTAATTTTAAACCAGAAATGGATTTCTATTTTACAACTAGTGCCAGGCCTTTTCCGAGTTCCGTGATCATCTAGAATGTATACCAAGAAAAGTTTATATAGAGATAGAGGGGAGGAATTCGAGAAAAAAGGGTACTACCTGTACACTTGTGAACAATGTGATAATTATGGCTGATCTCTAATTATCCTGATAGTTGTTCGACATGCTTGCATTACGCAGTCAAAGAGCGTAAATCCATTCCAAAAAGTCAGGGTAATTTATTATAAATTATATTACGAATGTCCAAAAAGTAAGGGGAGCGCATCCCTTTCCCCACCCAGGGTTTACGCCCTGCTCGTTAAAAGTTGTGTGGCTGCACGTTGTCCGATTTAAGAAACGCAATGTATTTATTAACTTTTATTTGTGTTTTAGTTTAATATACCGCGCTAGTGGTAACAATCAAGTAGCAAGAGATTTATTGCAGAAATATTATACCTTATGATAAATCCTGAAAGAACATCTGTTCTGTGATGATACAGGCACACGCTAAGTCTGTCCTGACTTTTCCACAGTCCCTAACACTGCTTATAACGCAAAGGACCATGGGAATGCCCCGAGGCGTTTTGCGGGTTGGGTAATTCAACGCGCGCGTTACTGAAGCGACTGGGAATGAGTCAGAAGTTTGTCTATATTCTGTATAGAACTATACTTTTACGTCAGGCGATTTTCGTGACGTGAAATTCAACTGTCTCCTGGCAACGGCTATGAGCAGTGGAAATTACTTTCATGCACCTGGACATTACTTTCAGTGGCATGCCGCTACCTAACCCGCGAACAGGCATACTCTGGTGATGCCTGTGTGAGGCTGGTGAATAGAATCTTTCAGTTACGGAGCAAAAAGTATGGTTGCTTTCTCGTCCTCCCCCCTCCCCCATTTTTTTGTTTTCTTTGACACATGGTGTAAAATACATATTGACTCCACAAAAACATACTGTTTCCCTCGGATCGTAATAAATAATCCGCAATCTCGTCCAAGGATCTTATAGATATATTGTATGTACTATTTCCTATCCGAGGAGCTGTGTTTGCAGTAGGGTTCTCAATATACGAGTCATTAGTTTCGGTCCGAGGCGCAGCCGAGGATCGAAACTAATGACTTTAACCAATAAAAAGATAAAAAGAGAACTTTAACCAACATAAAGTTGAAGAGTATTTTCACAAATGGAAATTATTTCTGCTTTTAAGAAATATAAAGCGACCTCATCAGTTGTGACTGATTCAAAGACCAATAACGCTCTGCAAACGATTTCACGCATATTTTTATGAATCATCGTAATCATCATATTTTTATGAATCATCGAAAAGCAATAATTTGAAATTTGTTTAGTTCACTTTTGGTTCAGTTTGCTAAATTTCAGTCGTAGTTAATTAAAGCTTTTCGTATGCCATAGTGCCAATTGCTAAAAGTTTAAAACCGCTGTATGAACTTGTCAACCTGTAGCCTGCCTGCACGCAGGCTGGTCAACCTGTAGTTGCGAGTATTTTATATGTCAACTAAACATTTTACAATCATCTTGGGGCGAGGTTCCTTTACAATCCCAAGCAGGGCAAGATTTCTAGAAAATTCGCCCTCCTCTCAAGGGAGGAGCTGTTACATTTTTTATTAATTGTTATTTTATTATGTTAGAGTTAATAACCTCTAGTGGAATAGATAAATACCTAGCTGATAAATACCTCATAAATGCTTTATCCAGATAAATGCCTCCAGCCCCCTATGTAAAACACCTTGAATCTCTGATGAAGAATCGTCACTTTGATCAGTGGCGTAGAAGAAGTGGTACTTCCCCCTAGTAGAAGTGCCAAAGGCACGAGTTGAGCGCCGTATATGCACAAGTTTTCTAAGGGGTCCAGGGCATGCTCACCCGGAAAATTTCTAGAGAATGAATCTAGAGTCTCTGAAATGCCATTTCCTGGACTTTGGGGAGAGATTTTACAGAATTCTGATGGTCGGAAAACGACATTGTAATATATCGGAGGCCTCCCTGGCCAATGTTTTTGCTCTACAGCATGAGCCTGGGCCCCCATTTGGCCCATTGGGGCTGGGGGCCCCCGGGTTCGCCCGGTCTGAACCCATAGTAGTTACACCACTGGCTGACTGCCTTTG